ATTAAATTTTGTATTACGCTTCCATTATTAATAAAACTATATCTTATGTATAATATTTATTTTTTTGATTCTTTGTATTTTCTATTTTTAAAAATTTTATTATTTGACTATGACATCATTTCATTTCTAACTTGGTTTTAATTTTGGCATTCCATTTTCATCATTTACAAAATTACTTCTTACATTTCATACATATTTTTGTTCAGTATAATGAATATACAATATTAATGACATGCCCAATTCTTTTTATTTTTTTTATTTTTTATTATTTAATTATTGCATTATTTATTAATGGATTTGACCCCAAATGGTTGAGTTGCTTACCCACCACCAATAGGGAAGAAAATGGTTTTGTTTTCAAATTATTTTTCAAAATATTATTTTTATATTATTAAAATTAATGCTGTGGATTTAATTAGTAGAATTTAATGATGAGAAAAATATATCTTAAATATAGGATTTAATAAGAGAATATACCTTAGATATAAGATTTAATGAGAGCTAATAGGAAAATAGTTTTACTTACAATTGGTTTTAAATTTTACATTTCATTTCCATCATTAATAAAACATTTTTTATTTATAATCAATGTTTTCAACTTGTTGTTGACCAACCCGATTGAACCATTCAAACTATCACTCAACCTTGATTTTAGGTTTGGTTCTGTTGAAACTCCCCCTTTTGGTTAAAAACCGTCTAACTTGGGTGGTTCAACCATAGACCTATTTGACCTAGTAACCAAGTTGCAGGTTGTGCACTTAATTATGTGCAAACTTTTGGAAGCCATAACTTTGCACTCCGACGTGTGATTGGGGTTATCTTTTTTTTTTTTACTTTGAATAACTTTTCAAGATCTATACGTCACAAGGGCATTATGCACCTTGCCTTGCTATTTTTTGTGAAAAAAACCTTTTTTTGCACCAAATTACAATTTCTAATATTTTTTATAAATAAAAAATTTTAAATGGAATTAAAAAACATAAATAAATGTAACATAATACATATATTATATATAACATATGTAAAATATAATTATAAAATATATGTAAAACATAACTATGATATATGTAAAACATAATTATATTATTTTTTGATAAAATATGTATTTTTACACACACACAGTGTTGACACAGAGTAGTTTGACTCGTTTGACCTTGATAGCCAAACTGGTGACCTGTGACCCAAAGGCAAAAACGGGTTGGCCTCCAAGTCGGTTTTTAAAAATTGTTTATCATACTTATTATTGTTTAATATGTCAAATTCGTGATTTTAAAAATGTTCCCATTTTTTTTAATTTCTACATTTTTTCATTTTATATATTTTTAAATTTTATTATTTAATTATGGCAACATGGATTGGCCCATTTGACCCAAATGGTTTAATTTCTTACCACCACCTAGATGAAAACACTATTTTTTCCAAGTAGATCTTAAAAGTATAAGTTTTTATGTTATTGGAATTGTTAATTTATTATGTATGTATTTAATTATAGAATTTAATGATGAGAATAAACAAAGAAGCATTAAATATATGATTCAACGAAGGTGAATGCAAATTAATACCTTAAATGTTGGATTTAATGAGAGATAATTGAATGCATTGAATATCTTAAAATTAACTATTTTCAACTCATTTAATATCAATAACTAATTA